TTCCAGTTCTGGTTGTTGGGAACGACGAGAGAGTTGAGTAGTGTCGTCAGCGAAAGCCAAGAGTCGCATAATGAATCTCGACCACAACTGTGGATTTGCCCTTGCTTCCGCCTTTGCCCCGAAAAAACCAACCAAGGGAGCCGAGCGATCGCTATAGAAATGTATCGTATCATCATCAGGACAAAGATCTGCAGCCTGCCGGTGGTAATCCCGGAGGGCCTGATCGTGCTGAATATTGAAGGCCGTACACGAGCTGGGACAGCCTTCCCGCCACCCGCGACACAGTTGATACGAAGGTGAGAAACCAGTCCGGGTGCGCACCTGGTACACCGTGTTCTTGTGCATCGCCATCAACTTGTCAACCAACAACGGCGGGAGGCCACGATTCAAGAGAATCGCTTCACCTCCATTCCAGGAGCAAGAGGGGTAAGCCTTCTTGATGTCGTACTTGCTGACTGTGACCGGATCGTAATTCTCTGGCGGCCGGGCACGGATGATTGTTTCCACGACCAAGCGCAGCAGAACCAGCGCGTCACAAGTACTTCGGTGAGGACGAAAACCCCATTGCTCAGGTAGGAGGAGTTGGTGTCGCTCCGCATAGGAACTCATCCGTTGAGCGATCACCCTCGCGAGCAGGCGGCTCGCAATACTAATCAGCACGATTCCTCGATAATTGTCCAAATTGGATCGCTCGCCCTTGTTTTTGAACAACGGGACAACAACAGCAACTTTCAAGAGATCGTCCCACTCGGCAGCGGGATGGTTCCAGAGATACAGTACGGTCTCGGCCAGATGGTCAAAAGCCTTGTCGCCGCCGAGGCGAATCATTTCGACTCGAAGTTCATCCTTGCCTCCGGCGCTGGGCTTCATTTTCTTGAAGGCGGCCTGGATTTCTGCTCTCGTTGGAGTACTGGCCAGAGAAAGATCCACCGGCAGCGGCGGAGGGAGCCTGTCCAGCACTTCTTGTCGTACTTCATTGGGCTGGCCCCCAATAGATTGAAAATGTTTTGCGGCTTGCTCTGGTGTGAACGGCTCTTCACCTTTGCGGCTCGTCTCGAACATGTTGACACCCATTCGGCGTAGACATCTGTAAAATTTGCCCCAATCTCCCACGCCGGCGGCAGCGTCGAGCTCTGTGACCATCGACTGCACCCACTCACGACGCAGCTGGCGCTTCCATGTCTTGAACTCGCGATTGGCAGCCTTGTGACGTTCCCTGGCAGCCTGAAGATCTGTGGAGCCACGAGCCGTGCGAACAGCATCCCAAAGACGTTGGATCTCCTTCCTGCGCGTGCGGACCTCTGGGAGGCGAGACTGCTCGTACGGCAGGCCAAGCACCTCCGGCTGCCGGCCCACTGTGGACTCCGCGGCCGCTACGATCCGCTCGCAGTACTCCGGCCACGGCAGAGGAGCACCAGGAGTGACCTCCGGGAGGGACGCCTCGACGGCCTCACGGAACTGCCCCGCCATGGCCACGGCCTCGGGAGAGGAGCCCGTCATCTTCTCCACTGCCAGGCGAGCCTGTGGCCGCTCCTTGACTTGAGACCGGGCTCCACGGAGGGAAAGACAGCATGCTTTCGCATAGTGGTCACTGTGAGGCATAGCAAAAACAACGAACTGCTCCAAGCGGCGCCTGGTCTCTGCGCTGCACACAAAGAAATCCAGTTCGTACCATCTCGCCTGCCCCTCGGTGTCCAGCCGCTGCATCGCCCACGTGGCCCGGCGACGTAGCGGAAAGAACGAGTCAGCATGCTGCATAGAAACTTCGCCTAGCCATTCCAAGAGCTCCCGGCCAGACTGCTTGGTGGGCTGAACCAGCCCCCAACGGCCGGCTTTGCCCTCTCGCTCGTGCCACTCTTCCGAAGAAACGGGGCGACCAACGTGACTGTTCCAGTCGCCTGCCCAAATATGTGAAGCAGAAGAAGGGAGTTGTGTACAAAGCAGAGAGAGGTTGTCCCAGTACTGCTCCCTCTCCGTGGGGTCGCCCGTCGGCGCATACGTGCTGACAAAGATGAGCCTCTCCTTGCCACACCGAAAATCCAGAGCAATAGAACGGCCATCGTTGCCTAGCCAATGGCGCTGCTGCTGGTCACGCCAACAATCGACCATCCAAGGAGCTAGTAAAAATCCTGATTTACCTCCAACCACCAAGATATATTCTTCTAAGGCTACAACTGCATATTCCGTGGAGTGTAGTTCAGTGAGCATAGCAACATCCCACTGTCCTTGACGGGCGGCATACACCAGATCTGCAAGCTTGTCCCGGTGACCCAACAGCTGCCAATTGAGGCCCTGCGTGTTGAACGTCACGAGCTTCAGGCGACTAGGAGCAGACCTGGTAGGAGTAAAGGATCGGCGAGCTCGACAACGTCTGTAAAGATGTCGAACTCGAAGCCGGTTGCGGCCACGACGCTGTCGAAGCACATCCGCTGACACAATGAATTCACCAGGAGGACGTGAGCCCCCATCGCATGCAGGAAGACTTGCTTGCCGATGACGAGTTTTACGTGAAGGAGGGCCTCGACGGAGCACCTCGCTGACACGATGCGTGAAAATCTGTGTTAAATAGCGTTTGGTCGCCATGAAGTCGATCAGCAATGGAGGCTCAACACTTCGTAGGCGATATCTCTTGGGACCTCTCAGAGGCGCTATTCACTCCCAAGGTTTATTGAACTGGTCCACTTCGTTCTCGGACGGCCAATTTAGCTGGAGCCTCCTGGGCGCAAATGGGAAAAGTTAGGATGATGCGGGCGGACTCGGAAGGACTCGTACATTCCAGCGGCGCTCTTTTGTCCATACGGATTACTTTCCATTGTTTTTGTTGTAAATTCCACGAGCGCTCCATTTTGTCATACGGAGTCCTTCGAACATTATATGTACAACAACGGTGCTGTGTTGCACACGGTTGTTGTGGTGCACGCGTGCGTGTTGCACACGGCTGACGTGGTGTACGCAGGCGCTGTGATGTACACGAGAACGGTGGTGCCCGCAGGAACGGTGGCACAAACTGACTCTGTGTTGCACGCGGCTGTTGTGGTGTACATAGGCGCTGCGGTGCACGCAAGCACTGTGGTGTACACAGGCGTTGTGGTGCAGATTGCCACCTACATGCTGGTGCTACCCGTCCTCCGTCATTCCTAGGCATTCCCAAGCGCCGCTGGCGCGAAACGTGGCGTCATCGACCCCCTCCACCCCCCCAAGATGATTGCCGTCATCGGCCTGGAATAAGAAACAGGCTCCAGCCGCGTCCGCGCGCACGTCGACGATGAGCGACGAGCCACGAGCGACGACGACTACGACTGCGGACCAGACTCCTATGCAGATTCCTGCGTGGACACCTACGCGGATCCCAGTGCGCACGGCGGCAGTTCCCGGAACGCACTCGGGGGGGGGGAGCGTTACGTCATAGGGGGGGGTGGGAGCGGGCGCCATCACGCCCGTCATGCCCCCAGCAATGAAGAAACGGGCTCATGGAGGACCTGGGAGCTCCAAAGAAGACCCCTATCGTGCCTTGCGCAATCGAAGCAAGGGGATCCGGAGGTGGCGAATGAGCGGGAGGGAGGATGAGCAGGAGGAAACGGAGGATGACGAGGAAGGAGGAGGGCGAGGACGAACAGCGACAACAGGAACTGGAGTGGAAGGAACTGGAGAACCAAGACTGATAGAACGCGGAGGTGGAATGATGCGGAAAGGCAACGAGGAGAAGGGACCTGGTTGTCCAGAAACAAGAGGCCAGCGCTGTGGCGAGAGCGCCTCTCTCTGAACGACGGGGGCGGTGCCTCGATCCGAAAACTGCGGCCCACGCTGCATCGCGAGCACGATCTCTTTTAGTGGGATCGCAATCTTATAGTCTACCTGGAGCAATTGCAGGAGGAGGAGGAGCAGGAGTAGGGGGAGGAGGGATCGAGGACTGTTCGGATGGAAGCAAAACAGCTTGGACCCATCCTGTATGCGTTTTGGAAAAAAAGGGGAGGGGAGCGTGCGACTCTCTCGGACCGTCTTCGGGGGAGAGAGAGAAAGAGAGAGAGAGAGGAGACCAGTATGCACATCAAGTTGGGTGCGCTCACGCCATATCTAACATCCTGCCCCCCCTACAGGCGGATTGTGGACGAAACATAATCATTAAACATCGTCGGGCAATAATCAAGCATAGTCCAAACATAATCCCCAGACTATGTTTTGATCATTTTTTACCAGCCCTCCTGGTCCTCCTGTAGAGGAACATGCCCAACTGAAACCCATCCCTTCCCATCGCGCTGAAGTTTTCTCTATCCGTGGACGCATGCCAAAGAACTCCCCCAAAGATCCCATCGTGTTGTGCGCCAAAGGCAAAATGGGGGAGCTGCGTACAGAGGAGGATGGGGAGGAGGTGGCGGACGGGCATGAGGATAAGCAGGATGAACAGGAGGAGGAGAGAGGCGTCAAACGAAGACAAACAGCAGCAGCGGGAACTGAAGTGGAAGGAACGGGAGGAACAGAAGGACCAGGGAAGGCGGTGGAGGCGAAATGGATGGGGCGACGATGATGATGAAAGATTCGGATCCAGATCAGAATGGCCTGCACTGGGGCGAAAGCGCCATTCTGAACGGGAGCAATGCTCCGATACTAAAATGGGCCCGAAGCTGTAGCAGCAGCAGCCGCAGTAGCAGCAGCAGCAGCAGCACTACCATTTTGAGGCCCCCAAAACGTTTCGATTGGGAAACCATAACTAGGAGAGACCAACTCTTGAGATCCTGTGTGGAAGAACGACGTGGAAGGGGCGGCCTACTCCTTTGCCCTCTTCTGGGGGAGGGGGGAGTATAATACACGGAGTAACTGTTGAGTTATTGTAGAGGAGGAGGAATAGGAGGAGGAGGAGGAGGAGGAGGAGGAGGAGGAGGAGGAGGAGGAGGAGGAGGAGGAGGCGGAGGAGGAGAGGAGGAGGAGGAGGTAGGGGAGGAGGGGGAGGAGGGGGGGAGGGAGGGAAGGTCGGAGGAAGCAAGGGGACGGAAAGCCCCCTCCGGCACAGCGATGAGGCCGGCCACCCGGAACACCTTGTTGCCCAAGCGTGCGCCTGCGGGCGGCTGGGGGGGGGGGGGGCGGCGCGCAGGCGGCGGGCGGCGGCACTGGGCTGCCGCCAGGGCAGGGGCAGATAGCATCGAATGAAGGGGCCCTGGGGCACACAAATAAATACACACAAATAAAAAGATTCCCCAGATTCTCCAATATTTTCTGGGTTTTTGTCTTCCCCCGCACTTCCCATATTTTCGCATATTTTCTGGGGAATCGACGATTGATTGTGTCTGTGTTTTTCCCTCCTGATCGAACCGGGAGAGTGGATCGGATCGTGAGCAAGCATTTCTTGATTTTCAAATCCCGGGGCAACATTGGGGTCGGCACCACTCCTGGGATCGGGCGGGGGAGCCGAGGGAAGAACGCCGACGCCCTCAGGCGCCTCATGAAGCAGTCGCAGGCTCCGAAATAATACGTATAACCCCGCAGATGCTGATAAGAGTGAGGGGGCGGAATGGACGTCGGCAGTTTGCGAGTCTCTGGAGAAGCATGCCGCAGGCGCCAAAGTTTCACTCACAAGTTATACAACGAGCCCGTCGCAAGCGCCGATTTTATCGTCAAACCTATGTGGTTAGGTCGCGGGTGGCTCGCGAGGTGGGACGCGGGTGGCTCGCTGTTGGGTCGCGGGTGGGTCCCGGGTGGGTCGCGGGTGGGTCGCGGGTGGGTCGCGGGGTGGGTCGCGGGTGGGGCGCAAATGGGTCGCGGGTGGGTCGCGGGTGGGTCGCGAGGTGGGTCGCGGGTGGATCGCAAGTGGGTCGCGGGTGGGTCGCGAAGTGGGTCGCGGGATGGGTCGCGGGAGAGGTCGCATGTGGGTCGCGGGGTGGGTCGCGGGGTGGGTCGCGGGGTGGGTCGCGGGGTGGGTCGCGGGTGGGACGGCGACAACAAACATTAACAACAACAACAACAACAACAGCAACACCAGCAGCAGCAGCAACAACAATTACAACATCGTCAACAACATAAGCATAACCATACACATACATATAAACAACAACAGCAACACCAACACCACCATCAATAACAACGACGACAACAACGACAACAACAACAGCAACAACAACAACACCAACAACAACAGCAACAACAGCAGCAACAACAACTACACCAACAACGACAACACCACCACCACCAACAACAGCCCCAACAACAACAAACATATTACCAACATCAACAACACCAACACCACCAACAGCAACATCACCAACACCACCACCACCACCACCAACAACAACAACAACAACAACAACAACAACGCAACAAGGATAACCCTCACGACGGATCCCCACTTCGGCCACGCACCCGGGGATAATGTAGGACCGTTCGGCCCTCTCACTCCGTCCCAATCCCCCGCAGCTGCGGACAAGAGAGAAGGCGCTTGGCAGCGCCTCTGGAAGCCACGACGCGCTCGCTTGCCAGCGGGACTTGAACCGAAACCGCTTCGGACATGCCGCCCCGCTTTCGGTGAGCCCTCCAAGCGTGCCCGCGTGGGCCCCCCAGCGTGGCCTCCCAGCGTGCCCCCCGGTGTGGCCTTCCAGCGTGGCCTCCGAGCGTGGTTTCCTGGCAGGGCCGCTGGAGAGACGACCCCCAAACGGACGAACGCGAGCAGGGACAGAGTAAGGACCGCTCGGGCACCCTCTCTCTGACGTGCTGGTACTTGGTACGACCGACCCAGCGGGAAACTGTTTGCCAATTCTCGGCCTCCGGGCGGCCCTGCCAGGCCGGGGGGCCGCCAGAAGACGATTCGGAATGACAGACCTGTCCTCGGGAACTGGAGGGCAGGAAAAAACACCCTCATAGTAAACACCCCGACGAGCGAAACCGTTTTAGACGTACCCCAAGGGGGAATCGACCAGGGCAGGGCTGTTTAGGAAACGCCCGGGGAAGCTTCGCAAACCCCTGTGCTGAGGGTCGGGGTGGCCTTTCCCTCCGTTGAGGAAGGGGTCGAGGCCTCCTGGGGCCCACCATGCAAACAACACTTTACATGTTTCGTAAAACGAAAGGGCACGTCGTCGGACGTCGTGCGGATCGGATCGGGCCGCATCGGCACGGAGCCGGGCCCGAATCGGATCGGCCGCGCCCGCGTGGCGAACGGGACGGGGGCGGGCCACCGAAGGGGAGCCACCAAGCTGTGCGCACAGCTGTCGGGGGCAGTCCCGCCGCGACAGAAATCACGACGGAAACATTTGGGCGATTTTCGGCCCCCAGGGGACCCTCGCCAGGCCCATAGGTGGTCGAAAAGCTGCCATGAATGAAGAGCCCGTCCTCGGGAGTGAATGAAGAGCCCGTTTTCGGGAAAGGGCCGATCTTCAGGAACCGCGCTGAGCCACACCAAAGGAGGGGGGGGTGGGGGCATGGCAGGACGGGGGGGGGGAACGACGGACGGGGTGGGGGGGGAGAGGGGCAAGGGACGGGGGGCATGGGGGGGGAGGGGGAGGGGTGGAAGGGGAAGGAGGGTGGGCAGGGGAAGGAAGAGAGGGATGGAAAGGGGGAGGGAGGGGAGGGGGGGGGGGGGGGGGGGGAGGGGGCGACGGCGGGAGCGGCGACGGACCCGGGGCCATAATCCCAACGCCCCCAAGATCCCCATGAGCGACGGTGGTGGGTGCCCACCCCGGCGCCACCAGGACTTGTCTGCGGGGGGGGGGGGGGGGGGCGGGGAGAGGGGGGGGGGGGGGGGGGCGAGAGGCAAGAGGGCGGGGGGGGGGGGGGGGGGGGGCGGGAGGGGGGAGGAAGGGCGCGAGGGCGGGGGGGAAGAGGGGGGGGGACGGGGGGAGGGAGGGCGGGAGGGCAGGGCGGGAGGGAGGGAGGGGGGAGAGGGACGGAGGGAGGGAGGGAGGGAGTGGGGGGTCGAATGGAGGGGGCGAGGGCAGATGGGGGCGCTGGTCGCGGGGCGGGCCGTGGAGCGGGGCGCAGCCCCTGGGGGCCAGACGCTCGCTCGCGCCCGCTGCGCCTCGGCCGTTTTTGGCGCCGCCCCCCAGGCAGTCCAAGACGCAGCGACTATAAACATGACATGTAACATGAGTATCGTGAAGAGGCCCACAAGCACACAACTAAATACACACAAATAAAACTATTCCCCATAGTTTCCCATATTTTCTGAGTTTCTGTCTTCCCCACCACCTCCCATATTTTCCCGTATTTTCCTGGGGATCGACGATTAATTGTGTCTGTGTGTTTCTTCCCCTCCTGATATCGCCCGCGCGCGAGGCCGCCCAGCTGAAGATGCGCCATGATCCGCAGCAGGATCCAGGATGGCATCGCGTTCCTCTGCCGCATCCTGGCCGTTGGGGGCGCGCTGCCAACAATCTGCCGGCCCACTTTCCGAACTCGCCGACGTCTCTAGTATCAGAACAGATCTGGTTGAGCGGCCCAGCGGGCCTCCATTTGCAGAGATCTCCGACTGGGCGATGGGCCAAGAGCGTCTGTGCACCCTCCGGACTGCGCCCCCCAACGCCTCCGCACTTTGCGGGATGCGAGCGTGGGCCAGCATCGTGCGCCCTGCTTTGTTACCCTGTTGCCATCACTCGGCGTCTGTCAACTATGCTTTCTGTCTCGGCGCGTGGCGAGGCGTGGATTCGTCGGCGGCATCGGCTCACATTATCTCTGCCTTCATTTGGCAAGCTGCACCCGCAATCGACACAGGGCTGCCCTGTGCGCGCGGCAGGAGCTGTCCGAGACCACCGCAGCCAGAGCAGCCATGGCAGCGGGGGCAGCCAAGACAGCGGGATCAAAAAAACGCTGCAAAGCTGGAGCGACACGAGCCTCTGAAGGACGGCTGGAAACCCGAACTGTCCTGACATTCGTCAGGGGGACGTAAGACCTGGGTACAGGGGGCTCGGAAATCCCCGACGAGGTCGTCAAACAAATGACGAGGCAAAGCCTGCATTTTGACGAGGCCTCCCGCTGCAGACATCCCACGGAACTCCTCCTCGTCAAAATCCGAGGCGCGGTCGTCAAAAAACGATGGCGAACCCGAGTCCTGGCAAACCCGGGTCTTGCGCTCCACCGATTCTGGGGGCCAGCCTCTTGCCCCTGGCCGCTCTCCAACGGCCTCCGGCGCCCGGGGCCCCGCGAGGGCCTCCGGGGGCCGATGCCGAAACTCGTCAAGACACTCTCCGCCGTGATTTTTGCGCTCGGCGGCGCGACGAGCTCCAGGCGCGCCCCGCGGCCGCAGCGGCACTGCCTGGGGCGCGGGGCGCTCGTCGACGGCCGCGCGGCGCCGGCCAGCCCCGGGCTGCCCGCGGGCGTCGTTCCATGAGGGGCAAACAGCGGGGGTTGAAGACGGGCGCGCCCGCCGCGCCCTTCGGGGCCCCAGGCGGCCCTTTCGGAGTTGAGGGTGGACAGGACACCCCTTCGCATAATGCCTTTTGTTTAAGGGGAGCTGCCAAGGGCCCCCCCCGCGCGCGCGGCGCCGTATTCCGAGCGCCCCGCGGCCCCCGGCGGGGTCGCCGACGTTCAAGAACAACCGAATGAATCCAGCGAGACGCGCGTCGATTGGCGAGACTGACCGGGGACTGCGCCGGCGCGCTTGATTGCCGCTGTCGAGTGGGCCGGCGCAAACCCTTGCAATTGACTCGTCTGCCTCGCGCGCGGCCGCGCGGGCGCGCCGGCCAGCCCCATTCCAGCGATTAGCAGGCTCAACTACCTGGGGGCGCACGCCTCGGGGCAGCAGATGAGCCTGCTCTGCCACCCGCGCCCGCAGGAGAATCAGGGGCCAGCTCATCACCTAGCGCTGGGTCTCAGGGTGGCGGTTCGGGCGACCGTGTCGCTCGACCTCGGGGCAACGGTTCGCGCGACTGTGTGACTCGACTAGGGCGAGGGCAGGTCGTCCAGCAGCTGGCGCAGCGCCCTGGCGGTCAGCGCCACGAGCTGCCGACGCTGTTGTTGGCAGCCCGACGCCCTTCGACTGAACTCGATTTGATGCCGCCGCGCCACTTCGAGCGCTTCGCAATGACTCGCACGGGGCGCGCGCGGGAACTTCGCGAGCTAGACCTCTGGCGGCGGCGCGCCACCAAGGAGGACAGGGCGCGAGCGCTACGAGCAGCCAACAGGCTCAATATATCCTCGACCTCATCCCCACGGTGGTCAACGACAGCAAGTGGCGCCGCAAATGGCTACCGCTAGCGCGCCAAACCGTGCCCGCGCTCCGCTTTTCGACGCGATTCAACCGACGCGTCGAGTGCGCCACCCAGTGCCCCAAGGATCGCATGCTCCTCCACCTGAACTGACGCGCCTCGCGGTGGCCTTCAAAGCCAATAAATCGCGTTCAAGCGCGACTCGACGCTGCTCATCGACCGCCAATGGATTCAGCTTTTCGGTGCGATAGCGAGAGACCCCGTCGTGGACGGCGAGGGCGGGGCGACCTCACTGCATTTAGTGAGGGAGATGAAAGGGGCGAGGAGTACATGTTGATATTCGAGCTCCTCGTCAGCGCGCTCGCTTCGTCGAGCGAAATAGCGCCGCGCTGCGACGCGCACTTTGCGTCGCAGAAGTGCAGCTAGGGCGCGACGGCATTGCGGCGAACTTCGACTCGATGCTAGCACGCGCGCCCTTTTTTCTGGAGGCAGTCACCCACGCGGGCGGGGCAACACCGTGTAGCGTCGTCTTCGGAATGGGGGCCAGCCATCATGCTGCCGCCACTCGGAACAGACGAAGGGCGTGAGGCATCCGGTGCCTGTGGCACTGGCGCCGTGCCTCCTGCAAGTAGAAAGTGCCGCCTGGCCGACTGCAGTGGCGCATCCGAAGAATCGCCCTGCAACGCGTGATCAGATCAAGGCCGCGTCGATGTCGCGCGCCAGCCCCGCCCCCCAGACCCGCGCCGCCGAATCCAGGGAGGGCTGCTCCGTAGATCCATGGGCCCCCGATCGCGAGGGGCGCGCCCGGCTGGGCCAGCCCCGGGGCGATCATTCCTGCGGGCCCGGCTCGAGGCAAAGTGGCGGCCAAGCGCCGCCGAGCAGAAGTGGCATGCGGACTGGAAGACGCCCGGCTTGTCGCAAGGGGGCCCCGCCCGGGGCCGCGCGGGGGACTGCCTAGGGCGCGTCGCGCCGGGCCCCGGGGCCGGGGCCTTCGGCCGCCAGAGGCGCGCAAAAGGCGCGCGCATCACCGAGCAGACCCGGCGGCGCCCAGACATCCTCGACGCCCTGCGCCATCGCCATCCGCCACGTAGATGCTTTCGGCAGCCAGACGCTCGTGCCGCTCGGTTGATGCGTGGCCCGAAGTCAGCGGGCAGCTGGCCGAGCTGCGCCCGCTGCGCGACAACCTGGCGGCCCGCTCGGGGACTGGGCGACGCCCGGGAGGCCGGCCTCGTCGGCGTATACTTCGGACGCCCATCTGCGCGCGCTGGAAGGGAGCTCGCGTCACTCAGTTGATCTCGGGGGTCGAGGCGCGACTGGTAGCGGGCGCCGTGCAGGGCGTCGACAGATCGTTCGACGGCTGCGTCATCGACGTTCCCGAAGACGCCGCCAGCACCGCCGAGGGCGCTTCGCCAGTGGCCCCATCGGCTGCGCCCGAGGAGACCGGCGGCGACATCACTGGCCACATTCAGCAGATGATGCAGCGCGAACTCGAAAGCGCAGAAGACCTAGCCAAGGAGCTCGGGGAGCTGGACGACGACGACGACAGCCAGCTAAATAACTGCGCTGCTGTCGAGCACGCTGCGGCCAGCCACGGCCGCCGGCCACAAAAGTGGCTCCAGCGCCTCGAGACGCAGCGCCGGGGCACCCGCGCGCGGCGCCACTACTACCTGCGCAAGGCCAATGAAGCGTCTGGCGACCAGGTCGCCAACGCTCCCCGGACATTTATGCCGCCGCCATGACATGTATGCCTTGACATTTATGCCGCCGCCGTGGCCGCGGTCATTAAGCGCGGCGCCGGACTTCTATGCAGCGACGATCACCCATCGATGCGTCGACGCTGTCAAAGGAGGTCGCCGCGGCCATCGCCGAAGACTTCGCCTGTCAGGCGTAGACGTTCCAAGTGGCGATCGCTCGAAGGACTCCGGGACGCAATGGGCCCCAGACGCGTTTTCGAGTGGAAACGCCACAAGGCATCAGACGGCAAGACTGTCCGGATTATCCGGCGCCGCGCGGCGCTTGGGGGCTTCCGCGACGTGGGCGCTGGATCCCTTGAGACGCTTGCGGGGGAGACTCGCGTGGCGGGCCGAGCTGCTCTTTGAGGCGAATCGTCGACCCGACGGGGCGCGCGTCGATGCGCGTCGAGAAGGCTTTCCTGCAGGGGCGAGGTAAGGCGCCCCGCGAGGAGACTTTACGCTGCCACCCGGCAGTGCAGCCATCCTCTTGCAGGGTCCTGGTTACAAGAGCTACGGCGAGCGGACTGAGTGCTTGCGCTGCATCAAGCTGGGCGCGGGCTGCAAGAAGTGGCACGGAGCCTTCTGTGCGAAGCTCGCCCGGGTCACGCGCGCACCAGGGTGCAGCGCTGAACCCGCCAGGTGGGGCCCCTGGCTTGAAGTTAAGCACGAAACGCCGCGCGCCTGTGGCACCAGCATCTCGGAGCTAGTGCTCATGCTGTCCAGCCGCGTCCAGAATCTGAGAGTTCCTGGACACAAGCAGCACGTCAACCGGCCCATCAGCAATATCGAGAGCGTCTTCGGCAAACTGAGACGTGACCATGATGATTTCACCAACTGCGAAGTGCACCAGCACCAGATTTGCCGATGGCACAGTGACGCTCGACCAGGACGAGTTCACCGCCTCCATATTACCGATCAGACACGTCGATCTGGCCAAAGCAAAGGCTGACGAGCCGGCCGGAAGTCAGCTTCTAGACCTCTTTGTCTCTCTCCTGGGAGCAGCGTCCCTGCGAGCCTGGCACCACGTTGCCATGTACATCGTTGCCCTTCAACGAGCAAAGAACTGACGTATTTGCTCATCCATAGCGTGGCGCAGCTCAAATCTTGTTCTGGCCATGCAGCACATAACAGGCACGCGTCGCATTTCCAGCCATGGAATGTGCCAGGCGACTCACCGTGCACAGCGACGGGTCGCTCGAGAGGGAAGAGAAGACAGGACACGGCATGAGAGGAGACGTGTACATTCGTCTCGGCAAGTGCCGCCGCACCGGCAACCAGGTGTGAAATGTATAAAACGAAGTGCGCCGATCGCACAAACTGGTGTGCAGATCCTCGGTCGGCACCGAGCTGTTCGCAGAGTGCAGCACAGCCGACGGACTGCAGTTTTACCTCCTCGCGCTACACGATATGGTGTGCTGCCCCGCCTCTGCAGGACATCAGGAGACTGAGGGAGGAACGAAGTTTCGCGATCCTTGCTGATCTCGTCATCGACGGCAAGTCCGTCTTCAGTGCGCTGCTCATGGACCCTGTGCGGCCGCCTCCCGGTGACAGCATTTCAGGCCACCTGTGGCGGTTAGCTGACCAGCTGCGCGACAAGCACATCGAGGACCTGCTCTCGCGCGACATTCGGGACATGCGGGCCGACCCCATGACCAAGGGCACCATGGGCCGCAGTGTGATGGACGGCCAGATCAGCCATGACCACGACACGGTCAAGTTCAGCGACGAGAAGAAGAAGGCCGTCCCGAGCTCCCAACAGTTCCCCCGCCCAGCACCGAAGAAACGACTCGTGTGACTGTGTCGCACAATCAACCACCGTTGCTCCGCTGATCAGGACACAAATCGACCTACCCAACAGCCGCGAGATGCGGGCATTGACGGGCCAGGATTACGAGGAAGTTGGGCATTCGAATGGATGCTGCTTCGGCTGACTATGTCAACAGAGCGGCAACAAACGTTTGCGTGTGCTCTAGCTGCAATTTCTCGACAGCGGGCAGCAAGGAGCGCTCACTGCCAGCAAGTGTCACGAGAGCGCGGTCCGTGGAGTAGAAAAAACTGCATACACATGAAATGTTGGCGTTCCGCGCGGGTTTCTTGGGTCTGCGCTGGACCCCCCTCCCTGGAGCGCGACGCGCGCCAGGGGCGGCGCTGGAGGCGCCGCCGGGGCGGGGCCCAGCGCGGATCCAAGAAATCCGCGCGGAGAGCCAGCAGTTTATGTTTATGGCTTTCGCCTTCTTCGACGCAAGTTGGCACCAACGAGGCCACGACTGAATTGATTGACCACCAGACTCGAACGGCACCCGTCCTGCTTGCAGTGGAGGTCAGTCTACAAAAAACCTCCCACAAGAAACCCAACCCTGAGACCGCGGGATGTCCATGGATTTTTGGCGTGGGAACGTCGCGCCTTCCATCGCAAAGTCATCGCTACCCCAAACAACCAGGGCACCTTGGATGCAAGCGGGGTGTTTCTTGGCAGGGCCCCCCACCGTATCTCACCCCGTCCTTGCCTGCACCACCCGCTGCCGTTTACAGCCTGGTGCTGTGCCCGCGCCCGCTGTCAGTCAAGCTCTCAGAGCCAACTCTGACTCGCCTTCGCTGCGCCCTACAGAAACCATTCGTCTCTCACATCTTCCCTCGCACACGTTCTCTAGTAGGACAAGGAGGAGGAGGAGGAGGAGGAGGAGGAGGAGGAGGAAGAGGAAGACGGCGGTGGAAAAGGAGGGTGGAGGGTGGAGGAGGAGGAGGAGGAGCAGGAGGAGGAGCAGGAGGAGGAGGATGAGCTGGTGGTGGTTGTGGTGGTGGTGGTGGTGGTGGTGGGAGGACCGCGAGCTCTCGTCGTCGTGCAGCCGTCTACCCCTCCAGTCCTGTATGCGAGGAGGGAGGTGGAGGGCGGCGCCGGAGGGCGCAAGAGGAGGCGCCCCCCCGCGGGGGGGGGGGGCCTGGCCACCTCCGCGGGCAGCTGCTCGGGCAGCACCTCGGCCGCTCCTCGGGCTCGTCGCCCTCGCACAACTCCCGCGACGAGAGGTTGTGCGCCGGCGGCATGGCGGCCGGCGCCAGCGCCGCCAGGGGCGGCCTCTGGCGGCCTCTTGCCGGGGGGGGGGGCAGGAACCTGGGGGTTAGCGTCAGGTTGGCTGTTTGGGGCGTTTTGATGGCCCCAGAGCTCAATTGGGGCACCCAGGAGAGCACCCAGCCACCCCGCCTGCGGCACCGAAGCCACGTGGACGGCACGGCCCCGAGTCTCCCCAGCAGTGCGCGCCCTGGAGGAGGAGGGGGAGAATAAGGAAGGGGAGGAGGAGGGCGAGGGAGGAGGATCGAAGTGTAGTTGCTGATGCCCTTGAGGGTAGGCGTAGCCCTCTCGATTCGGATGGGGCAACTGGGCTATCCCATCGTTGGAATCACAACTTGCCCCGCTGCAGCACGGGTCGCCATCCTGGTGGTGACGGGGGCGAGCCCGTTCCCCAACATGGCGGTATCGGAAACACGCTCTGCAGCAGGCCGGTGCGCCACCGGGGGGGTGCCTGCGTTGCTGTGCTTCCCTGCCCTCCCGTCCCCATCCCCTCCTCAGCCTCTACGGAACCACCGCCTGGGTCTTCCGCAAGGGCTCCCAACTTCGCGCTTCGCGCTGCGCGAAGCGCGAATAACTTCGCGCTCTCGCGCCGCCTCCCAGGGGAGAAGAGGAGGATAAGGAGGAATCGGAGCCGAACCGCGAGGCGCGAAGCGCGAATAACTTCGCGCCCTCGAGGGCGCCCTTGCTTCCGTGCCAGCTTCGGCACGGGCCTTGATGGGAGGGGAAAGGAGGCGCCGCCGCGCGACATCAGGTGTCGGACTTCGTGGATCTGCGCTGGACCTCCCTCCCTGGCGCGCGGAGCGCGCCAGGGGCGGCGCCGGAGGCGCCGCCAGGGGGGGCCCAGATCAGATCCAGGAGCTCCACGCGCGGAGCGTCAGCAATTAATGTGTGTGGCGAATTTCCTCTTCGAGTCACGAAGGAGGGGGGGGGGGGGGGACACCGTGTGTCGCGCTCGTCGGGCGCGCCGCCAGGGGGCTGCGGCCGCGTTGGAGGGCCCAGCCGGGGCGGCCGACGGCTCCCCCCTAATGCCGCGGCAGCCCAGGCCGGGCCAGGGACGCCCCTGGAGGGCGCAGGGGGGGAGACGCTGCCGCGAGAAGAAGCTCGGTGGTCGGGCTGCAAGCCTCGGAAGCCTGTGCTGACGCGATTCAGAACAGGCGGGCGCGGGGGGGCGAATCGAAACGGGGATGCGGAGGCCGCAACAGGTTCGGCAATTGGATCCGATGACAGCGGTGTGGCGCCAAGAGTCGTGACATGTTCGTTGCTGCCGTGCTGTGCGGTGCGGGGGGCATGGCGTGGCACGCGGCAAGAAGTGGGCACCCCTGTGGATCACTTCGACCGTGTGACTTTACAATGTCAGAGGACAGGCCATCCCACAGTCGACGAAGTTTGCTGAGGAAGCGGGGGGGTAGAATACACCGATTGTGGGAACCACCCGTCGGTGACCTCAGGAGGCCGCATGGCGGGCCCCGCAGGTCACCGACGCAAGCTGTGGGAACCAGAGGTCGGTGACCTCAGGAGGCCACTTGGGGTCCCCAGAAAGTCACAGACTCAAGAGTTTGGAAGGTGCCCCCGGTCAACCCTGACTGCGTCACAGGGCAGGCCCGAAGACAGGGGCGAGGCCATCTGCCAACCGCCACCGCGGTCGGTTGGCGACTATGACCTCCACATCTTCGCTGTTCCGTCCAATCCTTGCGGGGCGCGAAGGGGGGAGGTGCAGAAGGAAGATCGCGGTGCAAGTGCAACGCCGTCTTGGCGAACGGCAGACAATATAGCCCAGATTAATGGAAACGAAAGAAAACATTTACTGATGCATTCCGTTAATGGGTGCGGCCTGGCGGCTTCTTTGCAAGAGGCATCTGCGTCGCGACGGAGGGAAGCGCGCAGACTGACTCAGCGAACGCCCGCAAGCTGGCACTGCCGCCGGGCAGCGTCCAGGAGAAGACGACCCGTGAAAACCAGGGAGACGCGAGAGAGAGAGCAGGACCGCCAGCCTTGCCGCAGGGCTGTGGTCACGAGGCAACTGCCTCGCGACGGGGGTCAACGCGCTGAAGCGTGGACGCGCGAGAAATGGCACTGCCGCCGGGCAGCATTCAAAAAAAGGCGGACCGTGAGATCCAGGTAGAAGTGAGGGCGCGTAGGACCGCCGGCCTTGCCGCCAGTCTATGCCCTTGAGGCAACAGCCACGCGACCCGTGACGGGGGTAGGCGCGCGTGGTTGCCTTCACCGACAGCCAGCGTCGAAAAGGGGAAGCATTTTGGTAGCGGTTCGATATGAGACGGTACAGGACCGCCGGCTTTACCGCCATGCTGTCCTTGAGGCAACTGCCTCGTAGCGGGGGCAAACGTGCATAATCTGCGGATGCACGAAAATTGGAACTGCCGCCAACCGGTGCCCAAAAATGAAGCGAACTTTGGTTGACAATTGGACGTGCGAGTGTGCAGGAGAGCCGGCTTTGCCGCCGGGCAACGTCCTTGAGGCATCTGCCCCGCGAAACAGGCAAGCGCCTGTAGATGCTCGCAAGCTGGCTGTGCCGCCAAGGAGCGCCCACAAGAAACGAACTGTGAGAACCAGGGGGAGCGTGCAGGGCCGACGGCCTTGCCGCTGGGCTGTCCTTGAGGCGACTGCCTCGCGACGGGAACACACGGGCAGAATCTGCGGATGCACGATATCTGGCACTGCCGCCAGACCGCATCCCATAGGGGACGAATCTTGGCAGCGGTTCGACGTGAGTGCGCAGGGCCGCCGGCCTTGCCGCTGGGCAACGTTCTTGAAGCATCTGCCTCGCGACGGGGGCAAGCGGGCAGAACCTGTGGATGCCCGCAAGCCAGAAGCTGGCACTGCCGCTACAGAGCGCCCACGGGAAACGAACTGTGAGTTCCAAAGTATATGTGAGCGTGCACGACTGCCGGCCTTGCCGCCGGGCTGTGTCTTGAGAGGCAACAACATGCAACTGCCTCGCAACAGGGTGCGCGCGTAAAAACTGAGGACGCACGAGCGCGGGCACGGCCGTCGGCCAACGTCCACAACAAAAACGAACCGTGGTGACGGGGACGATGTCAAAGCGTGCAGGACCGCCACCCTTGCACGAAATCCAATAATTCCGCCACGCAGCATCCAAAACTAGACGAAACGCGGTAACACGCGCGACGGGAAAGCATGCGGGACCGTCGACCTTGCCGCCCAGGCTGCGTCCTTGAGGCGACTGCATCCCGACGGGGGTCAACGCGCAGACGTAAACGCCCCGTGGTGGAACCACTGTTGTAGAACATCGGGGTGTAGGCCTCTTGGTGACGATCTCGAGGTGAATGAAGCCCTCGAGGTGAAGACCTCGATGTGGACCCCGAAGTGGATACCTCCAAGTCACGACCTCGGTGAAAACCCGCGGGTGAAGACCTCGAGGTGGAGACTACTAGGTGGAGACCTCGAGGTGAAGGCCGCGAGGTGGAGGCCGTTAAACGACCTCTAAATTTACCACCTCGAGGTGAACGCCTCGAAATGGAAACCTCGAGTTGGAAACCTCGAGGCGGCGACCTCGAAATGCGGAGCACATGCGGCCTCGCCGCCAGGCTGTCTCTGACGTAAATACCTCGCGTGCCAGTGCCACCCCTGCTGCCTAACGCCTAACCCCTGGGGCAATTGTGCAGGTGCTCTTCGGGCGTGCGCAATGCGCACACCCAGACTGGCGCCCCATGCGTCTTGCACAACAGCCACACCAGAGGTGCTGTGAAAAGCCATCGGCATGGGGCGGAGGAGGAAGTGGAGCAGCAGCAGCAGCAGCAGGGTCCGCCCTCTCCCCCTCGCCTTTCCCGTCGCTGTCTCCTCTCGGGCCCCGTCGGCGTGGCAGCCGCCGGCTACCCAAGGGGGTCGCGGGGAGGAGGGACTGCTTGGCCCAGGAAGAGTGTGAGATCAATCAAAATCGAACCGGGAAATCGGATCACATTGGAATGTACGTCGGATCAGGCCGCATCGGTACGGAATCGGAATCGAATCGGATGGGTTACGCCAAAATGCACATCAACGCCATGCAAAACATGGCCGCATCGGGTCACCGGAAACCAGAATCGAATCGGATCGGATCGGCCAGGAAGAGGGGGTATGCGTTGGAGGGCAACTTTTGCGAGGTCTTCGTGAGAACGAGTGAGGGCTACAACTGATAGCGGGGCCATTCAGCCAGAGAGTGTAGCCGAAGACTGAGCTGGACTAGGGTTAGAAAGCCCAGGGTTCGCTAGGGACTGGTTTCCTCCCCAAACCGCCGAACCCCTCCAGGAAGGGTGCTGGGAGGCATTTCGAGGAGTTTTGGAAGGGCTTTGGAAGGTCTTTCATCGTTTGGGGGGGAAACCAGTCCCTAGCGAACCGAGGCTTTCTAAGGCTAGGGGAGATGAGGCGGGATTCAGCCGGATTCGTCGGGACTGTGCCGGCCCTACCCCCCACGATTCTGAGGGGGAGGGTGGGGTTCACTTCGTTAGGGAGCTTCCGAGCGAAATGGACCCCACCCTCCTCCTCAGAAATCGTGGGGGGTAGGGGCAGGGTTCGCAGGTGGCCCCATGATTAGACCCGTGTTCGGCCGCGAAGTGTCGGCGCCGATGTTGAGTTTAGCCCCCCAGAAGTTGCATCCCAACGAGCGCACCGGGGCCCGAGGCACGTGCGCAGAAGCCGGTTGTCACAAAAAACGGGTTGCCAGAAAAACTGTTGTCACAAACGAATAAAACAACAAACAAACAACAACTGGTTGTTTTGTGTGACAACCAGTAATTGTTTTAGTGTTTTGTGTGGCAACCAGGAGGGTCACGGGACGTGCCGAAGGACGAACACGCAAAGGAGACACAACACAACTGCTATTATCATGAATATCATTTTTCGTACTATGAGTTAGAGGAAGAAGGAGGACGATAGTCAGAAAACAAATGGTAGCACCAAGAACCATAAGAAGGAGAGGGGGACATGCACTCGGGGAGGAGGAGGAGGAGGAGAAGGAGGAGAAAGAGGAGGAGGAGGGGGAGGAGAAGGAGGGAGAGGAAAGGGGGGAGGAGGAGGAGGAGGGGGAGGAGGAGGAGGAGGAGGACGAGGAGGAGGAAA